GGGTTTGAACCGCCAGCCTTCTAGTTAGCAGTCAAGTGCCTTAGGCACTATGCTACCAGAGCTCCTTCTCAGACTTGTTAGCAGGAATAAATCAGGTTAGGTATGAAAACTATGCTAAGACACAGGATCTAGCATTTATAAAGCATTCAAAATGCCTACAATTACCTCTTATTAACTAATCAGAGACTAGATTAATAACAAGCTACTAACATGCAAGTTAGAAAGTTGGAAAAATGCATTCTTTTGTATCAGAAATTATTTTCTATGAAAAATCATTCTAAAGTATCTTTAGAACTTGTTAAAATATATTTTTAAATATATGTTTAAGATATAGTTTAACACAAGTTAGGAATTCCCATTTATTTACAGTCATGGTGTCATCTGGAAGAAATGTGGGTTTAGATAACACTGAATCTCAAAAAGGTCCTCATTTTGCAGCTGTTACTATGCCAACTTGCTACCACCTGATGGCAGTGTACTATTAATAAATTGAGGGCATAATCTTAAGAAAAAAGCAAATCCCTAAAAATTACCAAATAAAAACCAAAATTTGAATTTCTTGTGCTCAACAGATATAAAAATTATTTCAATGACAAAAGGACTAACACTTCAAATTTGACAGTCATTTTGCATATTAAAATTTATCACACCATTCCCAAGAAATATAAAACTCAATTCTGTATTTTTATTAAAATGCTTGCCCATGCCATCTCATATTTCTAAATAAGTAACAAAAAAAGGATGGAAACAGTGGATTACAAAAGGTCACTAAAACTTTTTAAGTTATTTTGTCCAATTTTCTCTCTTCTTCATAAATTTAAATACCATCTCTTTACTAGAGAAATGTTCTAATGCAATTAGGGGAAAACTTTCTGACATATTGTACTGATTTCCAATGTATATGACAATCTTTTCCACCTCAGTTAAAATTTATGCTTTCATTTTGTCATCAGTAAGCCACTTGATGAAAATTTTAAGTATTATCAAACCTGCTGGAACTACGAGATCTTCTTGATGCATTATAACTTCTGGGTGGTGTTCTGGATTTTTTATCCTTCTTTCTTTTCTCATCTATCTCTTTGGATCTGTCCTTTTCTTTGTCCTGTTCTTTTTCCTTCTCTTTGTCTCGCTCCTTTTCATGCTCTTTTTCCCGCTCTCTCTCTCTGTCCTTTTCCTTGTCTTTTTCCCGATCCTTTTCACGTTCTTTATCACGGTCTTTATCTTTGTTTTTACCCCGTTCCTTTTCTTTTTCACGTTCCTTGTCCCTCTCTCTCTCTTTTTCCCTTTCCTTTTCTCTATCTTTTTCTTTCACTCTTTCCTTTTCCTTGATCTTTTCTCGAGTGTCTTTTCTCTTGTCCCTTTAAAAACAAACAAAAATAAATAAATTCGCAACTAAAATAATTCTACTTCTCCACCCCCAAAAAAGGATCTCCCTCCTTGCTTTCCTAAATGATTGCCAACATAAAGCAATCTGTAATGCCAACAGATTCCACACTTAAATTTCTACGTAACTCATGTATACATGAAGCTGTTAAATTAAACAATTACAGGCTTACTTGAATAGTTTGGAAGCCTCATGAGTGATACTAACAATCAGATTCAAAACAATGGCAACTAGTATGAATCCTAGATTAGTAATATAACCAGAAAACAGATTTTATTTCTCTCATTAGAAACCTAAACCACAACAGATTTTTAGCAAATGAAGTCAATGAAAAATTACCTTTAATCCCCCAAAACTTACCGTGAACGCGAACGACTCCTTGACTTCCGTCTCTCCCTCGATTTAGAGCGTTTTTTGTGTGGACTCTTAGATCTACGTCTATCTTTCTGTCTTGAACGTGATCTATTATGGGATCTACTCCTAAAGAAAAACAAATTGCTAGAACATCAAAATTTATTCCTAAAACTTCAATTTTTAAAAATTTAAGATGTCAACTTTCAAGTTAAGAATTTTAAACTTACCCAAACAGCATTTATCAATATTTTAAAATTCCTTTTGGCATTTTTTTTTTAACTTCAGTTAAACTATATTAACTACTTTTATTTATTGAAAACTTTACCAGACATTTCATTGTCCAGAACACAAAAATAAAACAAAGAATGAATTTATTTCCTATGTCAGATTCCTATTTCCAGATGTGGCTTTCTTTTGCTATCATATACTTCAAATCAGTAAAAATCTCTCCCAAAGACCAAGTTTTCATGTCATAAATTATCTCTAATTCAAATGAAAAGAACTTGACTTGCATGTAGTACAAATGCTTCTGATTATAGCTCATCTTGACAGGGTGGTTCAACAGCTTCTATAAATGGCTGTATACTATTTGTCATAACACACATTAAGAACGTAAAAGGAAGCACAGTACTAGTGACAGCACTAATGTGACAGGAAAATAAAAATCACTACTTGTGAGTTAAAGGTAGATATAATCAAATGTTGGGTTTGCAATGCCTTGCTTTTATGAGGATAAACTTTTATCACCAGAATTCTTACAGGAAAAAATAATTGCTATTCCAATTTTGAAATTCTCTAGTTCTCTTCTTTATCCCCTACACTGTTTTCATAATGCAATGTTTCATGATCAGGTTTCCTAGGAACTATTTATTACCATATAACAAAATGGACTGCACACAACTTGAATAACAAAGTAATTAGAGTCATTAGCTTTAGAGTCAGACAACCTAGCTCTGAATCTCAGCTCTGCCACACACCAGCTGTGAGAACCCAGACTACTTGCTTATCCTCTCTAAGCCCAAGTACCTTCATCTACAGAGTGGAGTAACAATCATACCTATAGCCCCCAATGCTGATGATGTACACTGCCTACCAGTCTCTGGCACAAAGTAAATGCTCAAAACTCTAAACACTATCATTATTATTATTAACAATTAATGTAAATATAAACTTTTGAACAATTTATTCCAATGAGGTAAATTAACTTCAAAAGTTCACTTTATACATAAAACTCATCTTGATAATTATGTTTTTATGAATTAAGTTAAAATTCAAATGTCTATAAAAGACAAAGAGAGAGAGAGTTAAAATGATCACGCCTGCAGTAGGCCGCTGTTGTCGTTAGGTGCCACTGAGTCGGATCCAACTCACAGTGACCCTACGTACAACAGAATGAAACAATGCCCCGTCCTGCGCCATTCTCACAATCACTGCTATGCACAAGCCCACTGCAGCAGCCACTATGTCAATCCATCTTAGTAACCAGAAAAATCTCCAGACAATTCTCAATTAATAATAAACTCTTGTTTTTTTAAACACAATTTTCAGTTAGCCAAAATATGGTTTCCAACAGCTAATTTTCAATTGAACTATTCATCATATGGTTATATGACTTTAAAGATTTGTCTTCATACCACATTTTTAATACAAGAAGATAACTGATACTACACACTGAAATCTTTAGTACACCATTTAAGGGACATAAGAATCAACTAGTAGGTATTAAGTATAAACTACAAAACTCAGAACATTTTTAGTCTATTTACTCGTACACACATAAAGGTATTCTTTTAAAGTGCCTTTGCTTCTATCTACCTAATAAAGTCTTAATATAACACTTCTCTTCCAGTTAACTGTGTTAAAAATAGAAATAAGGCTTCTGATTTCTTCAAACCAGTAAATTTCAATCTTTTTAAAAAATACATAATTTAAGCTTAATAAATATTAGTAAGAAAAAAGTAGATTCTTGATTAGCTGACATTACTTACCATACTATGGCTCCTCAGAGTTTGAAAATTATTACCCAAGAGTAATTATTCTATTTAATTTTGACATCAAATATTTTCATGTCTCTATCTCACCTGCTAATAGCCATCAAAGTTTTCTGCTTAAGAATGCTAAAAGCTTCAAGAGAAAATCTAATCCAATCAAAAATAAAGCTGATGTGAATTACTGTTAGTTGTTCTTCTTTTTGCATAATTTGCAAATTAAACTGTAAAAACAGGGCAACTTACCAATATGTTGACTCAAACTTCATTCAGTTGCTTCCCATTAAAACATTGTAAAAGGTCTTACAGTTCTTATATTGGTCTGTAAAAGCTACTTAACCTAAAATGTAACAATTATAGTACTACCCATCTTTTCTAATATTGTCTCTACAGAAAAAAAAGCATATCAAAATTTACCTAGACATGACAGAAACAGCTCTAGCCAAGGTCCCAGTGACAAAAAAAAAACCCTTCTTTCTTTCCTCTTTCCATAAGAAGGGGAAGGAATAGAGAAAGGATACAAAAGAGGGAAGGGACTCTAGAAGCATCCGAGGATGCTGATAAGGCAGAAAAAGATGGGCCTTTAAGAGCAAAAGTTCCTGCCAGTTCACACTTCTGCTAAGTCTACTGAGTCAGAGCCAAAGCAGAGGGCATCAACTCCCACTAGCAGGGGAGGGGAAGCCAAGAAAGGCATATCACTTCACTCCTCTCCCTACTCTGGGGGCTCCTTCATAGATGGTTCCAAGTCAAGATTTTTAAGCCAAATGTTTTTAGGTAAGAAATTCTGTTTTCCCTTTAAACTGAACTTGTCCTCTTTTCTATTTTGTTCATGAACCTAGTCAAGACCACAGGCATTTCTATGCCCTATGTATGAAAGTAGAAAATGCCAACCAAAACAAGATACATATATACATTCATATACAGCAAGGTTTGTAAAAGCTGGAAACTTTAAGAAGGAAACCTGTCAGAAGGAAAATTCAAATATTTTCCACTAAAAGTAGCAATAGAAAAGTGGTAAGACTGCACGCTCAAAGGTTGAAAGCTTGCAAGAGATAGAAAAACAAGGTAGTTCCATACAGCTTCAGCTCTCACAGGTTTCACTGTATCTTTTCCACTTTGACAAATAAGCCAATAACAAATAGCAAGTAATTTCTAATGCAGTATAGTTAGTTAGAGCTAAATGGAATTACTCCCATCAATAAAAACAATTCACAAAATTTCAGTTTTAACTGAAAAACCTCTCTCACCCTCTAACCCTTGGAAGAGGAAAAAAAATCCAAATACACTTAAGATTATAAAAATTTTATAGTACATAGCTGCATTATTCATTATAACTTCAAAAAACAAGTAAGACCATCAAAGAAACAATAATGTTAATTGTCAAGCTTCTGGTTTTTTCTAGTTTCAAAAAAATACTAAGGTGTAACAGATTTGAATCATGACTCATACTCAAAACAAAATGAGATTCAAATCACTGTTTTTTATTCTCAGAAAAGAAGTGGTAACCTTCTTAACCTCATTCTATATTTCCTTGTTCTCCTTAAGTCTCACCACATCCTGTCAACACATGGAAACAGTCATAGTCTAGGACCACTGCTGCTTCTGCACCACTTTCCTTCCTGCTTCTGTTACACTACCTGAACCTTATTCCTTGTACATGAAACAACTTCCTTCATTTGGTGCTGAAGAGGTCTTACTACAAGACCTTGAAAACCACATTCCAAAGGGGATTTTTCAAGCTAAGAATAACTGAGAAATATATACTGGTAAATAGCTAGAAGTACCAGAATCAAAAAAAGAATGTATTTTCTCATCTCATTCCTTCAATCTCCTTGATCATCACAGAAAAATGGACTAAAGCTGAGCTTGCTGATGAGGCTTAACATACAGCACCAAGGTTCCGTTCTTCCCTCACTTCAAACTCCTCTCTTATCCTCCAATAATCCCAAAAGTATGCATGCACACACACACAAGCTTTCCTTTCCTCCCTCTCTCTAGCCATCAGTACGAAGACGTGCACACACGTTAACAGGCAACCAGGAGTCAGTCACTATACACATTTTTAGGACCTACAGTGGCATAGTAGTTAAGCACTTGGCTGCTAAATGAAAGGTGGGCAATTAGAAACCACTAATCACTGAAGAAGAACGATTTAGCAGTCAGTTTCCATAAAGATTTATAGCTTTGGAAACCCTACAGAGCAGTTCTCTTCTGTCCCATAGGTATGCTATGAGTCAGGACTGGCTCGATGGCAGTAGACATACACATTTTTTAGAAGCTTCGGTAGCACAATGGTTAAGCATTTGGCTGCTAACCAAAAGGGTGGAGGTTCAAACCCACCAGGTGCCCCAAAGGAGAAAAATGTGGTAGTTTGCATCCATAAATATTTACAGCCTTGGAAATTCTATGGGACAGTTCTACTCTGAGCTATAGTGTTACTATGAGTCAGATTCAACTGGATAGCAATGGGTTTTATATACATTTTTACCTTTCAACCAAAGCCGCCTACACACCTTAAAGAAAACAAGAGAATTTTGTCAGTTTAGACACAACTGTAGGGGATTTCCAATTAGAATGGTGTTGCAAGTTTACAATACCATTTTGATACTCCCTTTGCATCAAACAAAAAGCAGTGACAGATAAGAGAGAAAATATTAAAGGGAGAGAGCTAAACTCAAAAATAGGGTAACCAGAAACAGTGTAAGCACGATAGTTGGCACTAAAGCTGCAAGTTACTTCCGGGTTTTAGGTCCAAAAGTGAGCAGAGAAGGCTCTTATCTCTAGAACTATGAAGGACTTAAAGTGCACTACTTGACACATGGTACTGGAGACAGGAAATTGTTTGAAACGAAGAGTTGAGATGGGATTCCCAGCCCTTGAGTGAACTCTGGGGGGGAAAAAAAATAAAAAAGCTGCAACTTCAGCATTGTCACCAACTATGTCCCCATTTCTCAATATGAAGAACGAAAACCATTTCAGACAATTCCATATAAAGACTGGTTTACTCTTAGAAAAATCAGGAACAGATTATCTTTAGAAAGAATGCGAACTTCTACACCTGAAAATTAAGTCAATATATTAAACATCAACTTATACAGATTCTCATTCTTAACTACAGTATTGTAACATTATTTAACAGTAAACCACACTTTTAAGAAAAACCTGCTAAAAAGTCTAAATTTTCATTTTTGAGAAAAGCACAGAAAATATCAACCATTTTAAATACAAAACTGCAAAAATTTAAAACATGATGCTAGAAATCCTCACCTGTGTTTGGATTGTGATCTTTTCCTTCTAGAATGGGATTTTGAACTAGACCTGGATTTTGAACGACTGTGGGAACGAGATCGACCGCCTTTTCTTTCATTGCTCTTTCCAGACTCTGAGAGGAAAAAACCACTTTGCAGTGTAAGCTCAGAACAATTAAAGATCCCAGTTAATAATCAGGCACAAGTGGAATGTACCACATATAGTGCAAGGGGCCTACTCTCTGTACATCCTCCTCCTGTGCAATTATCCTTCAGAAACATCCAAGAAAGTCATTGCATAAACTCGTTGAGTGCAGCCACCCTGCAGCAGTACATATAAACCACATGATTATAAACAGCTGTTCGTAATATTTTGTTGCTGCCATAATGAACGATTATAACATGTCTGTAATTCCTATGACAGTGATTTTAAGTCCTTTTGTCATTTATTTTGCTAGAGTTGAAGCTTAAATTCTGAGTGTCAATGTAAAACTTTGCTCAAATATAAACCACCTAGATGTTTTTAGATTCAATTTTTTAAATTGTTTTGGTTAGCAACACAAAAGTTTGAATAGGTGTTCCCTTATATTGCTAAAACAGAATATCTGGGTTTTTGTTTTTTTTTTCCCCCTATGAATCATGGGCTCTGTTTCTATTTTTAAAAGTAAAGCTTTGAAGAAAAGTGGAATCTGCATAACCATAATACTTCAAATATATTTACTTTTGAGTTTCATAATAACATTTGTATTTTGTTTCAAGCAAATTAATTTTGAGCACTTATTTTGCTATTAAAATATAAAGAGCTGATTAATTCAGGCTGAAGTGCCTCAATCCAGCACTATGGGAAAAGACAATGTCTGTGCTAACTAGTTCTCTGATACTAATTAGTCACTTACTCTTTCCTGAGTTTCAGTGTTCTTTATAAAATAAAGGGACTGAACAAGACAATTTCTAAAATTCTTTCCAGTTCTAAGCTTCTATGATCTTTAACCTATGACCTATATAACAACTCTGTGGCCTTACCTGGTTCAATAGCTGCCGAGATAAATGACTGAGCCTCTCGCACTCGCTTCATAACTTCTTCTAACTCCTTAGCTGCAGCCTGAGGTGTCATCTCAGGGGGTTTTACTATTGCATTGTTGGAGTGATTTATTCTAAATTAAAAATATTAGCATATCACAAATACACACCATATTTAATAAAACATGAAACAATTAAACGTTTCTATGAAGTGCATTTTTATAAACTTGATAGTATTTTGAACTTCAAATACAGAATACCCAAAAACAACTCCAAAACCACAACCAAGCACCCATTTCCACCTCCCATTGTCTCTCACTAACAGGCCTAAGGGGGGAAAAAAAAGTGAACCTTGGCTGACTTCTCAAATAGACCAAAGCAAGTGCTTTTCCATATATCTATAACAAATCAAAGTCTTGACATCAACATTGAAATAAATCATTTCTATTTCTAAACTACAAGATTTCCTTAACAGTGTCTGCACCTTGGAAAAATGATGGGTAAGCCACATATTATATGCACCATTTTAATCAACCGTGGCCCAAAGCAGAGTTAGACACACCACTGAATGAAGAAGGCAGATGATAAAACTCTTCCCATGCTAGGTAAGAGCAGCTTCTCTGATGTACATAAATAAACTTGGTGCGTCTCATTTTACCCATGCCACATTGAGAGGATCCACTAAGAACACTTATCATTTAATATAAAAATCCTTATCAAACTATTTAACTAAGGCAATTATCTATATGAAATTCAGACAAAATTATGTTTGCCTCAATAATCTAAGTGGAATAAAATTTCTGGTTCTGAGTATCTGGAAGACTACATAAATTTTTCATTTTGTACATAAGAATGTTAGCAAACCTTAAAACTCAAAACATTTGATTTAAATCATTTATATGTACTTATATTATTTTCTTCCTGGGGTTCTGAATTTATCAAAGTTCTTATGGTTCAATTTCAACCCACACGTTAAATGGTACATTAGACTAAAGTCACAATGCAAAACAACCTATCTTGCTATGGAAAGATAACCTACAATTATTATGTAGGGTATATAAATAATACATTATGATTAAGTTAGACCTTATAAAAGAGAAAATAAATGTCTTCCAATACAACTTTAGGAATTTAAATGCTAAAATGGTAAGCATCTCAGGCACTTCATTTATACTTAACACAAAGTCTTCCTTTCCACAAACTGCCAATTACTATTAAAAAGAGGAGGGGAAAAAAAAGCCTTCGTTACATCAAAATTACTTAGTATTTTTTCAAAACTATAAAACTTCTTTGTTTAGGGTTTCTTACTTCAGTGGCCTGTCTCCAAACATAACTCCATTAAAAGCAAGGGCCCTTGGTACAGAATTTTGGTCTGCAAATTCCACAAAAGCAAATCGAGTTGGCTGAGTCTCATCACCTGCCATCCGTACAAACTTCACTTCTCCAACTTGTTTAAAAAATTCAAGTAGCTGATCAGCTGTCGTCGTCTAAGGAAACAAAGTGACAATTTAGTAAGTTATATTTCTTTCAAAAAATCAGGTAAATGTTACTTCCACAACTAGTAAGATTTTTAAGAGGAAAAATAATGAGCTACTACCACTCATTTTCTTCTTAGTTACCTGAGAATTCAAATTTCCAACATAGACTGTTCTCCTAATTTCATCAATTTTAGAAGGATCCACATTTCCCATAAGTGGTGGCTGTGGTATCTCTCCAAGTGTTGCAATGTTGGGGTCTAGTGCTGCTGCTGGTATAGCTCCCAAACTGCTTAGTGAAACACCAAGCTATAAAAAAATAAATAAATAAATAATATATTTTCTATTACTGTTAAAAATCAGCATTCTCTAATCTTCAACTTATCAACTAACACAACAAGAACAGCAGGAACGTATAGATTCCTAACTTTAAGTTATTTATGTAAGACATATATACAATGTCTGAATTATTAAGAAAGCAAGGTCACATCAGTTTTGAATGTACATCTATTCCTCACTAATCAACTATCTTGTTATCTGGCATTTCACATTTATAACAACTTTGACAAAATTCTCAGGCAGTGTGCCTCTGATGGTACAGGCCTCTTGCAGGGCTGTGGCCAGGCCCAGGGTGCCATGAACGGGCCACCCAAAACCATATACTGGAGGCCCCAGCAACCACCAGGCCACATGAGAGATGCTGGCCAACTGCCTGCAGGACACCTTCTCCCATTCATCTGTAATGTCTAGGTCCTGCCACAGAGGGCAGAAGGCAACAGGAGGATGATGTGAGAAGGCAGGAAGGCAGAGAGGCAAGCTGAGGGGTGAAAGGTACTGGGGAGGTCTGTGGGGAGAGGCAGGAAAGTAGGTAGAGGGGAAGAAGCCACATACGGCTCCAGGGCCAGGGCAATCAGAGGACTAACAGGGTCACCATCCAAGGCAGGCACCAGCAGGCACAGGCAACACCTGACTACTGTCACCACCACTATCCACAAACCCTGTGAGCAGGAACAGAATCCTTGTCAAACACCCCAATTCTTACATAATGCCAATTTCACATAATGAACTGGTCTCTGAAACCTAGCCATGTTGATAATTAGGAGTAAGTGTTAATTGGAAACAGATTTCTTAACTGTCTGGGTATTTTAACCACTTTTAAACTTAACACTACAAATGTGCCATGGTCATTCAACACTGATTATATGAGTTCCTAATAGTCAATAATAATCATAGCTGCTGATTTTTGCTGGGCTATTAATATGGGGGCTATTGCTCCCCATATTAACCCTAAGAGACAGGTATTACTATAATGCCAATTTCACAGATAAAGAGAAAGACTTTGAGAAGTGAAATAATTTGCTTTAAGGCTACTCAGCTACCAAGTGGTAAAGGCAGGGTACACCAGGACAAATTAAAATATAAATATTGGCAAAGTTTACCTAAGGTAAGAAATCTAAAATATAAGCCCTAACTTACACGACAGTAGGAGAATGATAAAACTCTTTGAATGTTCTTCCATAATATTACTAAATTCAGTTTTCAGTTCAAGCATACAGAACACATTATTTTTAGCAAAGATTAACTAGAAAGATCTCTGGATTTGAAAATGGGAAAAATTTCAAAACAAAAAGATCTTTCAAGGAAAAGAAACATACCACTCCTTTCATTTCCACTCATGTTATTCAAGAAAAATGAGTATTTTTTTTTGCCTATGTGTGCAAAAAAACTCACTGCGACCCCTCCCTGGATTTCTGAGGTGGTGTCACTACAGAAGTAGATCGCCCAATCTTCCTTCCAAGGAGTGGCTGGTGGGTTCGAACTGTTTGCCTTCTGGTTAGCAGCCAAATGCCTTACGCACTAAGCCAGCAGAGCTTGGGCAATCTACTTCTGTAGTGATACCGCCTCGGAAACCCAAGGAGGGGTGGCTATGAGTTGGGATCAACTTGACAGCAGTTGAGCTTGTTGTTGTTGTTGTTATGTGCCGTCAAGTCGGCCCAACTCATAGCGACCCCTCCTTGGGTTTCCGAGGCAGTATCACTACAGAAGTAGGATTGCCCAACCTTCCTACCAAGGAGTGGCTGGGTTTGAACTGCCAGCCGTCTGGTTAGCAGGCAAGTGTCTTAGCCACTATGCTACCAGAGCAGTGAGCTTGGTTTCTTTAAAACTATGTGCAAAAAGCAGCTCTCTCTGGTGGCACAGTGGATATGGCATTTGGAGCTAACCAGTTCGAAACCACCAGCTGCTTCATGGAAGGAAGATGAAGCAATGTAATTTAGTAAAGATTTACAGCCTTGGAAACCCAATGGGGGTGTCACTATGAGTTGGAATCGACTCAATGGCAGTAGGTTTGTTTTTTTTGGTTTATATGTGCAAACATTATAAAACTACTAAGATTTAATAACTTAAGTGATGATACTACATAAAGGTGAAAACATAAGTTTATGAAACCAATTTCACTTACCTATGTCATAGTAGCCAGTATATTTTTAAAACATGTCAAATCATGTTATACTCCTGCTTAAAATCAACTGATAGCTTTCAATTAACTTTAGAATAAAACTGGAACTCCTTCCATGGCTTAAAAAAACCTACATAATTAGTGACCTTCCTATCTCTTCAATCGCATCTCAAAATAGACACTACTTTCTCCCTGTCATCTACTATGCTTTAGCCACACTGACCACCATTCTGCTTCTTGAATGCAAGTTTTTCCCACTTTATAGCTTTCTATTTGGTGTTCCTTCTGCTTAGAAAGCTTTGCCTCCAGCTTCTGTCCAGTGAATCCTTGAAGTGTCAGGTAAATTATCACCTCCAAGAGGCTTTCCCTGACCTTATTTAAAGCCTGATTTATTCTCTACCACATCATTTACTCTTTAGCAGATCACTCTTTTTTTTTTTTCCTTCATAATTATTTATTATCATCTGTGGTACCTGACTACTGACAGATTTATTGCTTACTACCTCCATTTCACTGCTAACCACAAGGCTGGTGATTCAAATCCACTAGCCACTCCTCAAAAAGAAGGTTGGGCATCTACTTCCGGAGTGATATTGCCTCGGAAACCCAAGGAGGAGTCGCTATGAGTCGGGTCCAACTTGATGGCACATAACAACAACAACCACCAACACCATTTCAAGATATCAGAAAGTTGTGGAAATATCTTAGTTAAAAATGGGTGAGATATCTCTATGAGTCAAGTCTACCACCCTCTAAGTCTACCCTTTCTCCACGTGTTGCTTCTTAATTATACCTTCTCTCCACCTTGTCTTCTATATATATAGTCTAAAGTACTTAGGGGAGCTCTGGTAGCGTAGTGCCTAAGGCACTTGACTGATAGCCAGAAGGCTGGCGGTTCAAACCCACTAGCCACTCCTCAGAAGGAAGGTTGGGCAATCTACTTCTGTAGTGATACCGCCCTGGAAACCCAAGGAGGGGTCGCTATGAGTTAGGTCTGACTTGACGGTACATAACAACAACAAGGTACTTAGATGACTGAGGATCACATCATAATGTTTTTTTTCAACTGTAAGAGAATTATCACACACAGTTAAGATAAATCACAAATATAATTCTTAATTGTTTATGACCTTTGCGTGAATTTAAAACATTAAATAGTCCTTTCCAGGTATTTCCTGGTGTCAATCTCTCTGACCTGTATACTTCTCTACTGAATGATACACAGATTTGAAAAGAGCTTTTCCAAATTATCTCGTGCAATCCCTTTTTTAAAAAATGTTAAAGACTACTTAGTTCCTTTTTAGAAACTCTTTCCCATCTCTCTTCTACATCATTCTTCTATACCTGTGTTGTCCAATACGGCAGTTACTAGTCACATATGGTTATTTCAATTTAAATTCATTAAAATTAATTACATTTAAAATTCAGTTCCCTCAGTCACATTAGCCATATTTCAAGTACTCAATAGCTACATGAGTCTACTGGCTACCATGTTAGACAGCACAGATATAGACATTTGCATCATTGCAGAAAGTTCTACTGGACAGGGCCACTATGTAATGATAAAATCATTGTTCTTACCTTAGTGTTTCTTCTAGCCCCAGCCCAAGAAAATGTATTTAGTCTCCCTTTCAGTTTCTCATGTATAAACAGACTATGTAGATTCCAAACATGACACTTTTGCATTCTGACATAAAAGCCCCCGCCTCTCCAAGGAGGTGGCTTTTAAATAGAAATCTACATGAAACAGTGAACTTTTTTAATGTGTGGAAATGAATGATTTAGGCAGAAGGAATAAATGCAAAAGCCAAAGGCAGAAATATGCTGGGCACATCCAAGAAACAACACACTCAATATGGCTGAAGTACAATGAGCCAAGGAAATAAGAGGTAGAAAAAAAAGGGTCAGAGGTAACCAGGCACCAGTTCAATGGGCTACCTACCTACTATTTTCTAATTTAAGTTTTATAGCACTTAAACTAGATAGTCTTCAGCTGAATCAAGAGAAGTTATTTTCTCTCAAGACAACAAAGTAAATAATAAAGAGTTTATGTCACTGCCATGAACTCTAAGAATTTTCAAGACAGCAAGTTATTTTCTAGAGAAACGGAAAAAATGTGATGATCCTGGATAAGAATTAGTTATGTTAAAATACACCAAAATAGACTAAAATTTCCAGAAAAGTCCTACTCAAATGATGAGATACTCAACTTAAAAGGTCTCCGACAGAACACTGTTGTATGAAAATTAAAAGGCTTAAATTTTGCTCTTCAAAGTTTCAGAAATCACTTTTATTGCTTGTATAAATTAACAACAATCATACAGCTTATGCAACAACCTCCATCTATCTAGATTTAACTTTCAATTAGGGTGATTTTTGTATTTTGCTTTGTGTTTGCTTTTTTGAGAAGAAAAATGGTCTTTTAAAAAAATATGACCAGAATCTTTCATACAAAAATACAAAGGTCCTAATAACAGTAAAACTTTTTTTTTTTTTTTTACCTTTCATTTCCACTTTGAGATCACAAAGGAAGCATTAAATTATTAATTCCTCTTAGTTAATAAAAATATATTTTGCCTATGTCTTCACCTTATTATGGGAGCTCTGGTGGCATAATGCCTAAGGCATTTGACTGCTAACCAGAAGGCTGACGGTTCAAACCCACCAGCCACTCCTCCGAAGAAAGGTTGGGCAATCTACTTCCATATAGATACCGCCTTGGAAACCCAAGGAGAGGTCACTATGAGTCGGATTCGACTCGACAGCAGTTGAATTTGCTCCCCCTCCCACCTTACCATATTTTCTCAATGCCAGATAATGCCTTTCTGGTTTTTTTCCTATTGTCAAGACTGTGGATCATTCCTGTCTTTTAGATGGATTCAGTCCTCATGAATGGAGAAATCCAGTTTCATAGACACTCCACTTCCCCATATTATCTAAAATGCTGAGTTTCAATAACTGATTTTCTAACGAATCATCTATTTGAGTTCTCAAATGGAAATGAATACTCAATTGCTTCATGAGTTACTCAAAAAGAGAGCTTAAGTCAGTGGCAACTGGGGGGAAATGTTCTCCATTTTTTAAAAATAGATCCAAAATGGAAATCATTTTTTAAGATCTTTATTCAACTGATTACACAGTTAAATATTTGCCCCTTTTATAACAGGGCTTACAGTACTCACCGTAGTCAAGGGATTTGGGGTTGGTATGGGAAGCAACCCTGCACCAGGCATCAGACTTGTCATGGTTGGAGCAGGAGCCAGTAAAGAAAGGGCTTTGGATTCCTCTGGGATTTTACCTGCAGAGGCAAATTCCAAACATTATAGAAAGCAGAAACACCACATAAACTTTATGCTATGATTTTACAATTACCCTTGCTCTTAAAAAAAAAAAATAATAAATGAATCTATCTATCAGATCCATATAAAGAAACAAATAAGAACTTAAGTCTTTCCTTTTATCCTGCTCTACTAGGAAAAATAAAAAGTGAGCAAAACTTCAAAGACTAACAATCTCATTAATGGAATATTATTTTAAAAATTGAATAATGTAGACAATTATTTAACACTTTGAGCTATGGGTCACCTGTACTGGAAACTTAATGTTCATGAACCAAACGATATCAAGCATGGACGCTTTCCCAGGACGGTGTTTTCGCGGTGATCGAAAGTTGTGTTACACATGACAACCGTTCGTGTTGGCTGCATCACTAATAGCACACAGAACATCAGATACAGAAAAGAAGAACATTTTTTAAAGTTTAATCCCCAGAAATGGCAAATAACCAAATTAGTCAAAAAAAAGAAAAAGAAAAAACAAATATGTGCGAATTGAAATTTGTTCCTTAATGAGTGCCCTACTCTGCTACTGAAACTACCGACTTGTGATGCAAACAATTTTGGTAACCCTCCAAAGGAATCCATTTAATTTTAGTAAACAGAAGAAAAACAAAAATCTACATCTTGAATCACCTTCAATTTAAAAGGAAGACTATACACATTTAGTTAATAAGGCACCTCACCAGTAACATAACAGATGCCTAAAAGGATCTATTCCTGAAGAGTATGTCTTGGGAAACTGCTAAAATTTTTCAGAACAAAAAAAAAGGGTTCCTAATCTCAGGTACCTTCTTAATAGATCTAACTTATGTATACTTATCTAATGAGAGATGTTTGATCCCTAAATGTTTTATGTTTATAAACATTTTAACTGCTAGTAACAATAACAGTAACACTAAAATAATCTTAAGACACTTGGAAGAAAAAAAACCCTACAACCTAAAAAATGAAAGATATACTCTGAAATAAGTACATCAACAGTTTGCCATATTTAGTCACTGAATTCTAATCAATTAATTTTGATAAGGACTACAACTTTCACATATTTTTCCTGGTCAAATATCTTACCCGAGAAAAAGTATTTCTTGAAAAACTGACTACACATATTTTAGAGCAACTATTTATATGGTATATGGCTACACATTTCCATTAAGGGTTCTCTAAAAGTAATTTAAAACACAGCGTACAAAATCACTCTCAACTGTACACACCATATGGAGTATTGCTAGATTTTAATGGTAAAATTTCTATTTAAGACCACCAGATGTGCAGGGTTAAACCTCAAAATAGTATTATCTGACTATATCTCTAACCATGGACTGAATTCAAGATAGATTTTATTTTAAACTTGCTTTAAGTAATGGTTAAGCCTTATTTATCAGAACAGAAAAATTAGTTTATTAGCCTTAGCAAATGTGTTTTTCTGAGTTTTGCAACATCTAAGTCTATACTATTTTAATTTACTAATTTCAAAAAACAAAGTTACTTTATTATTTCAGTGTAAATTCTACACAAGCACAGATTTTTGTTTTAACATGCATAAAGATAAACAGAAGGTAGGGTAGACCTTACTGAAGACATCAAAATAACAGTAACTTATGTTTAATTAGTTACTAATGTTACCACACATATCTATATATACCTATGTACACTATACTATTTATGTTGATATCAGAACTGATCATCCATTATAAAGAAGTATTCTTTTATAAGTAACACATTTGCAAAACCAGATTACATCTTGATAAACCAGCTGAGGTCCTCAGGTTCATACCCTATGCTTTACTACCCTAATTTATGTTCCTAAGAGTTCCAATCTAGTAACGCTGTAAATTTAATATTACTTGATAATTAATAAGCAAAACTATCTATAGAGGAAACAAAAGGGGTATTCAACACAGGCCAAAAATTGGTAACAGTATTATTTCATCTATCACTTAAATATCAGGTTGTTTGCCTCTCATGGTGGTAATAAACTGTTAAATCTAGGCTAACTGTAAGCACAGTAATACTTTTTTTCTTATTCCAATTACCATTAAAGATACTTCAAGAAAGAAAAAAGTTCATTTCCAAAAGAATTCTATCAAATTTATCTCCAAATACTATCTATCAACGTATTATAAAGCAAATAAGCACTTAGTATTTTTCCCAAACTATATTCCTCAAAGACAACTTAGAGAAAAAAACTACATCTCTCAGTATGAAAGTACTAGTCTGAATCTCAGAATCCATTTAGAAACCAGCAGCCTCTAAAATTTGTCAATAAAAAGTTCAAGCAAACAGAAAAACACACACACAAATAATTAACAGCTTCTCAAATATCCATTCCCCAAGTAAGCAGCTAAACATCTTCATAAATTAAGGAAATAAGTTCTTGTCTATAATAAAAATAAAAATCTCTTTTTCCCTAACCCTCAGACTATTATATGAAATTTTCTTATTTTCCTTGATAATTGTATATATCTAAAATTCTAGGGGAAAGTATAAAAATTAGGAGCTATTTTGTTTATTTTTATGACAGATGCAAAAAACTGCAAAAATGTTTCAATGATATCACAAAAAGTGTTCCTAAGATTCTTACCAGTGTTTTAGTGTTTCAAGAACAAAATGTACCTGATCAGTCTATAAACACCAAAAGACTGACACTGAGCTTCACAACAATGTATTCTAATTTTCTGCATGAAAATTTATTTTATCTTAAGGTTGTGCTCTGCTGATCATCTCCCAATATAATTTGCAACACAATGTTATGAACCTTTAATGGAATATCATTTATATAGAACTGGAAAACCAGCTCACAAGTTAAAGTGAAAGAGATTTAACAAAACAAAAACAAAAACAAAAACAAAAAAAGGGGGGGGGGACAAAATAAAGAAAAAGAAATGAAATTAAAGTAAAACAATAAAAAACAGAGACAGGGCGTCCATCTTCTGCGGTTCAGACTCCGATCTCATTTCCCCAATGAAGGTTTCACTTGACGGCAGGTTTAGTGGCATGGCAAACAATGCCTAACTCAGGCAAGTGTAACAGGTCTGCCTTGGCCAGTCTAGTCATCTAATAATGCACAAATATCACATAGAGAAAACATACAAAACCAAATTAATAGTCAAAATCCATCTACCAGAAAATGTGGACATAAAGTTATGATTGATGATTAGGCTGACACCCTTGTTATGTTTGACCTTATTTTTCCCTAAGTGTTAACATTTATAAAAAGAAATCTGAGATGCACGCAACAACAACAAAAAAAAGAGGTCACATCTGGACGAGTATAATGAAAGTATATTTTATTTTGAAATGGTATGTTTAGTTAACAATAGTTAATGCTTAATATGTATGAAACCATTACACGTCAAACATTACTTTCACAGTTTAAGATTTTCTCACATTACTATCTGCACTGAAAAACAAGCAAATTGAAAGAAACTAGAAACACTTTTCTTGAACCTTAATTCTGTAGTATTCTCATTTCTGTCAATGGTATTTCTACAGCATCAAAAAAAGGTAATGCAGTCAGTGAAGTTAACAAAAGACTGCTTACAGCAACACACTATATCTCTTCTTATAGAACTTATTCATTCCACTGGAACACTTTGCTTTTAGTTTATTTCAAACTCACTTTGCTATCTTTTTACAATGCATTATTTCTTTGCTTGCAGTGCATAATCAGATTTTTATCAGCTCATTGTGAAATTCTTCAGGTTCCACAAATTCACCTGTTCCATTTAGTTCAACTAATGAAAAATATGTATCTGAATGTTTTTCTAATGCCAATTATTTTATAGTTCTAAAATACATACTTACTTGTAACTAAACTTTAATAAAAATATACTTAGATTTTGTTGCTAAATAGTAATGCTAAAAATACTACAATGGGTAACTAAATGTGCATTGTATTCATTACTATCAAACAAATGAAAAAGATACCTACATGCCCATAACCTTGTACATTTATGACAAATTAAGGTCAGGGCTTCCCCTATATATATATATGAAACATTCAGCGAAGTTTCAACAAAGCAAAATTGATAAATTCTTCCTTCTAACTTAGGAGTTAATGTAATACAAAATCCTGTACTGTTGGTGGTATATGTAATTAATTCCCTGATTAATTATTGTTTTCTGATAATAATTAATTTCCAGTTTAATAAATCCTCCACCTGATTTCTTTTTTCCCATGCAGTTTACTTGATAAGAAATTTCACTACAAGGCATGAAGAACTAAACCATTAATTAGGTCCTTTCCTACTTCACTCTACAGTTAAGGGCTTACTTCTCCCATACAGAATAGCAAAATACATATTTAGAAAATAATTAACTTTAATCTGTTTTTACTCTCTCTATCCCACCCCATCCCCAAGAAAGTGAAACTTTCCAATTTACCTGAAAAACCTAGAATGTCTTATTCTAGAACATCAAAAACACCTGAATAATACTCTGATTTTAATGTTTTTGACATTCCAGAATAGGCATTCTGAAATAAGCATAAAACCTTGAAAGTGTAGCAAACTGTTCATTATATATATTAAGTTACTTTAAATGTTAACCTAGTCTCTAAAAAAGTTTTTTTTGGGGGGGTAGGAGGACATGAAATCTCATTAAATTGCTTCAAGTAAACTTTCATGTTGTAAATGTTACCACCATCCACCAGAGAAAATATAATTTAAAAATATTTAAATTACAATAACCCAACTCTAAAATCCATTTACTACACATGCCATAGTCAGTGATCTGAATAAAAGTTAATTACACACCAGAACTGTCAAATTCAGCACAGCTTATTATCTGTGACTCTGTAAATAGAAGTTACTAAAAAATAAATGTTAATAATTATTAGCTCTTAAAGCAATTTAAATAATAAAATTTAGCTTAGTTTCCTATCTTTGATAACTATTTCCTTGATGGGAAGCTTTGGAAAACTGCTGCCTATGATCTTTTCTAATTACAAAAAAAGTGAAAGAGAAGTCTAGTTGCATAGCAAACAATTATATTAAATATGAAATAATGGTTTCACAGTAACTATTAAGATAAATTATCTTAAGAGGATCTGAAGTTTAAATTATAATATTTATAATTTATAATTACATTTCTTATAAACAAACAGCATCATTTAACTCTAAACTGTGTACATTGTTTTTATATATTCAATATTAATATTGTGTACACAAGGAAAAGTGCTTACATTTTTATGCATTTAAAGTAATTTCCTTTCCTAACTTTAATATTTTTCAGTATAAGAACGTTTTCTTTACAACTTGGAAAAAACAAAAAGCTTTCTTTTCTAACTTGCAATATACTACAGAAAGCCAAAGAAAACCAGAGAAGCCAAGTAATTTATTAACATTTTTAAATATTTAGCTGTAAAACCTCAAACATATCTAAGTAATAAATTAATGACTAGTACATAAAGTAAAAATCCTTTCCTTCTCCAAATTTCACTCTTGCTTAACACACACTAACAAATATTATCTACTGGCCAATTTCTTGGAAAGCCAAAAGTAAGTAACACATAGTACTGAGATCAAAACAAGAGGAAAAATATGAGAGATACTAACCTTCTGCACAAGGAACAACTATCAGAGCTCTGTCAATAAAAACCGTGTTAGTTAGATGCTGGGCCACACCAACACTTGATGGATCACGAAACTTAACATAACATACTTTGGAGGAAAAAGCAAGAGGTGCGTTGCTGCAAGATACAAAGAAAAACAAATGAACAAAATAAATGTTTGGTTTTCTCATTTCCTTTAAAATTTTTTTTCTTACAACTTTACATAATCTTGCATAATCAAGACAATAAATTTTTGCTGCTAAGGATCATTAAGACATGAAATAGAAAAACAATGTCATTTAATTTCAAAGATGGAAGGTAACCTAGGCAGGTCAATAGCCTTATTTGTAAGATTTGAAACTTAATCAATTCTTAATTTGCATGAAATATGAAAACAGGTGATTTGACCCAAAGATATTTGAGCTAATGTATCACCATAAAAAGGCAAAATCCCTTTATAAAAGCCCAAATTCTAAAGACTTTAAATTTCCTAACCACTTCTAACCCTTTCTATTGTGATTCCCTGGCATTTAAATTACCACAGACCTCACCACAACAGTCATAGAAACAATCTGATAATAAGAATTTAAAAATCAAGGCCTTTTGAAAATGGAGGAACAGGAAGACAATCGACACAGACCTTCTTCAACAAAGAAAAGAAAAAACAACTGACAAAGATATAGAAGATAATCCTGGAGCCCTGAGCTCTGAAAGGAAAGATGAAGAAGCAGATTAGGCACCAACCAGCAGAAAAACCTGAATGAAAACAGTGAGTACAGAAACAGTAGGAGCTGTGGACTGTGAGCTACTCTGACGGGACTAACAGCCTGAATATTTCCAAGTGGTGCTGGGACCTGAGAATTGACCTAAAGATCAACCCTGGTGACCAAGGGCTGCAGGGACAACTGAGCTGGTGGCCTATGACTAAGGGAAACAGCAAGGAGGGATACTACCTGAGCTGTTGACTTTCTGCTGTCCAGAAGGTGCACCCATTTTGGTTGTTTACACGTGATACCCATTTTGAATGTTTACAAGTGGCAGCCACTTAGGATATTTAAAGTGACCAAGGGCGCAGCCAATTTGAATCTTTACGAATGGGAACCATTTTATATTTTACAGTGGTAGCATTTTCATTAGGATTCAGGGACCTAAGAATAGGCTGTTTGCCAAGGTCGGCAGGGACATGCGAGAGGCTGACAACAGGAAAGGAGACAGATGGGGAGTGCAGAAGTGCTGTCAACTACCTAATAGAGAAGCACAGTACCCTGCTTGCGTAGATAACATACAAAAAAAAAAAAAAAGTCGAAAATCGTGGACAAGTCACTCCAACATAAAGTCACCAATTAAATATAACCACAAAAACGTCACAAAACTTCGGAGACAACAGAGCATCACAGTCCACACAAACAAGCAAGATAAAGCGGGAGAAACGGGGGAACAGAACACAGACCCAAAACACATCCCTGAGGAAGATGCAGCATTGGAATTCCCTGATAAGAAATTTAAAAGAATTATATTTAGGTATCTTCAATGAACTGAGGGACAGATCAAGGAAAACACAGAGAAAACCCTAGAACAATTTCAAAAGACAGTAAGAACAAAATGACAAAATAAATGAAAAATTAGAAATGATACAAAATCTACACACAGAAATCCAGAAGATTAATAATAAATTTTCAGAAATAGGTAAGACATTGAATAGGCAAAGGAGCAGACTTGAATCAATGGAAGACAGAATTAGGGAGACTGACAGCAAATACCAGAACACGTCTTTGTTGTTGTTGTTCTTAGGTGCATCAAGTCGTTTCTGACTCATAGCGACCCCATGCACAGCAGAAAAGAAACACTGCCTGATCCCGCGCCAGCTCCATGATCCCTGCTACACTTGAGCCCATCATCGAAGCCACCGTGTCAATCCATCTCATTGAAGGCCTCCCCCTCTTACATTGACCCTCTACCTTACCAAGCATGACATCCTTCTCCAAGGAATGGTTCCTTCTGACAACATGACCAAAATAGGTGAGATGAAGTCTGGCCATTCTCGCTTCCAAGGAGCATTTTGGCTGCACTTCCTCCAGGACAGATCTGTTAGTTCCCTTAGCAGTCCATGGTACCTTCAGCATTCTTCACCAGCACCACAACTCAA